GTCCTGCTATTTTCTCTTTTGGTTGTTGGTGTCGTGATTCGTCATTTGCCTCCGTTCTACGGTAATCGCCAGGGGGGCGTAGCGACAAGGACTACCGAGAAGTAGGGAACAGGAAAGCGGAGGAGGACGACGGAAGGAGAAGACGGACGAGGAGGAGGAGAGAGCCGGCAGGAGCTTGCCTTGTAAGGTCTGGGCGATAATGGCCGTGATCGGCCGGCCCTCTCTCCCCCTCATAGATCACTTCACGCTATTTTCAACAAATCCGAGTGATTCTTCGAGGGTTTCCTAGGATTCTTCGAGGATTTCCTAGGATTTTCTTCGAGGGTTTCCTAGGATTTCCTAGGATTTCCTAGGATTCACGTTATTTCAAACAAATCCGAGTGATTCTTTGAGGATTTCCTGGGATTTCGGGCGGCCCCCCGCCGTGGTGTGATCGGGGGGGGGGCACTCCCCCTCCTTCTCTTCCTCCTCCTCCTCCTCCTCCTCCTCCTCCTCCTCCGCCTCCTCCTCCTCCTCCTCCTCCTCCTCCTCCTCCTCCTCCTCCTCCTCCTCCTCCTCCTCCTCCCCCTCCCCCGATCACGGCCGTTATCGCGAGTAACAGCAAACGAGCTCCAGGGGTCATTCCGATTCCGCCGGCTCGGTTCGATTCGATTTCCCAGGCTGCCGATGCGAACCGATTCGATGCGGAGATACCCATTCGCGATTCCGATTTCGAGTTCGCTCGATCCGACTGTTGCTGATTCGATGCGTTAGCCGATTGTTATTCCTGACGATACTTGCCGATCTGGCCTCGTCTCGGATGAATATGTCACGCCGTGTTGTGTTCCCCTCGGTCTCACGCGCGATACGAGGTATTTGCAGAGTTGAGCAAACCAAGAGGAGGAGGAGGAGGAGGAGGAGGAGGAGGAGGAGGAGGAGGAGGACGACGACGACGACGACGACGACGACGACGAGGACGACGAGGACGACGAGGACGACGAGGATGACGAGGACGAGGACGAGGGCGAGGGCGAGGACGAGAACGAGCGCCCCGGAAGCGCCCCGACGACGCGCCGACGCTGGCGCGGCGCCTCGCCGCCCCCGCCGCGGTCGCCGCGGCCGCCGCTTGCCAGCGGCCAGCGGGGCCTGGGAGCTGAGGCCTGGCGTCGCTCGGCCGTGCTCAGTGTGTCGATCGGCGCGGACCATCGAGGAGCCTCCCCAAATCCCTCGCGCTCTGAAGGACTCACGACGGGCGGTTTTTCAGTATTTTCGGCCTCCGGGGGCCCTTCCCAGGCCTCGGGGCCGCCAAACAATGATTCAGGATGAAAAACTGGTCCCGGGCGAAAGTTTCCAGACCTCTGGGGGTCGACGTTATGAACAGATCCCGCGACGTCGGGGGTCTGGCGCCTGGATCACCGAGCCATCAAACAACAGCCTGCGCGACACCGAGAAATGCACGGGATGGATGGACGTCCGAGAGATGGCAAGGGGCCCGTTAACCCCGCGGGGCCCCCCTCCGCGAAGGGGGGGATGGCCCGCCCGGAGGCGGCCCCGCCCGCAGGGGGCCAGCGAGGATGGATTATCCACGCGGGGCTCCTCCTCCTCCTCCTCCTCCTCCTCCTCCTCCTCCTCCTCCTCCCCCTCCTCCTCCTCCTCCCCCTCCTCCTCCTCCTCCTCCTCCTCCTCCTCCTCCTCCTCCTCCTCCTCCTCCTCCTCCTCCTCCTCCTCCTCCTCCCTCCCCTCCTGCGGGCGGGGCCGCCTCTCCCCGCGGGGCCCCTGCGGGGCCGGGCGGGGGTGGGGGCCCTCCGGGAGGGGCCTCCTCTGGGCGGCGGGCCCCTCCCCGGGGGCGGGGCTGCCCCCCTGAGATTGGTAGTCCCCAAACGTGGTGGTGACAACACCTGGCGGTGAGTCTCGGGCGATTTGGTGTCACTACCCGGTTTGGGGACTCGTGCGGTTTTCCGAGGATGTCCCGAACACTGGTGGGTCCCTGAGATGTCCGAGGATGTCCGAGGATGCCCCCCTGAGAGTCGGGGCCCAATCAAACGACGCGAAGATCAGGACAAGATCGGATCGGGATAGCTCGAAATCTCTGAGAATCGGCGGGTTTGGAGGATGTATTGGGCGCCGCGGCCGCTCCAGAGCGTTCCGGAACGCTCTGAGAGCGCTCCGGAACGCTCTGGAGCGATTTATCCCGATCCTAGCCCTGTTTTGCCCAAGGGACGGGGGCCGATGCCAACGGGGGTCGGCCAGAGCGCCCGCTCTTTCGGGGGCGGCAAAGAGGAAGAGGGGGGTGATGACTTGGGGGGGGATATCATGGCGGGGGCCACGATATCTCCCCAGATCTCATGGCGCCTCTTCTTGTTTCATTGCGTCCCTGGCCCCCCAGCTTGGCCGCGCACATGCCGCCCGTCATGATTTGCACCCCCCCCTTCTTGGACACCCCCCTCTTGGCCGCTCCCGAATCTTGCAGGATCCCGCAGAGGCGAGGGTCGAGTTGACCGGGGCTCGGGTGCAGGATGTTGCAGGATCGTGGGATATCCTCCGCACTGACCAGGGCTGGGGGGCAGGATCTCGCAGGACCTTGCAGGACACTGCAAGGCCTGCCTGACCCGGGTCAGAAGATCCCCGAGGAGGAGGAGGAGGAGGAGGAGGAGGAGGAGGAGGAGGACGACGACGACGAGGACGCGGACGAGGACGAGGGAGGGAGGAGGACGACGACGAGGACGACGAGGACGAGGACGAGGACGAGGAAGATCCCCGAAGGAGGGTGAGCTCTCTCCCCTCGGGCAGGCGGGCGCCCGGCGCGGCGCCGAGCCGAGCTCAGATTCGAGCGGTGTCGGCAGGCTTCCGCCGACCTCTGCCAGTTCTCGGGGGCGGCCAGGCTCAAGTCGGGCCTGTCCCCCTGCAGGGGGAGCTTCATCGAAAAATAAAACATACTCCAAAATAGTCCCAAAATGCTCCAAACATACATCCCCAGACCGAACGTTTTTTCCTCCAATGGATCCAATTGGATCCCTTTTCGGGTGTGGGAGAGTTTCGTGGATCCTATTTCTGTGTTGCGCGGATCAAATTTCCTGTGTGTGAAAAAGACGATGGATCCATTTATTTCCCGGGAATAAATATATGATAATAATTAACATCCGGGATCCAGGGGAAATGGGATCCGCGGAGCACCGCCAGTGAAGCATCATGCTATCCACGGAGCTGCGGATCTGCATACCAATGCTATGATTCTACGGGGGATGGGGGTCTTCCCAGGATGAAGAGGGGAAGGCTGAGGGAAGAGGCAAGAGGAGGCGGGAGGAGAACAGAGGGGATCGGCGCGTCGCTTCCGACATGTGGGGCTCAAGAGGAAAATCTTTCGGCCTGAGTAAGTAGTCTGGGAACTATTTGTTTCGTATTTGTTGACCTTTGGTTTATTTATGGTTTTTTTCCCCCGTCGAAGTCCTCCTGTAGGGGGACACGCCCGACATACGGCCAGGAGGGGGGGTGCCCAGACACGACCACGTCGCACAAAAAATCAGGACGGGATATTTCTGGCTATTTTCTGCATCCGGGAGCCCTCGCCGGGCCTCGGGAGCGTGAAACAACGACTCGGGACGAGACACCGGTCCTGGGGAAAGGGTCGGGACATCAAGGGACGCCGTCCTGAAAAAATCAGGACGTCACATGTCTGGGTGATGACTGGGGGGGTGGATATCAGGTCTCCAGATTTCGTGGCGCCTCTTATTCTTCTTCTTCTTCTTCTTCTTCTTCTTCTTTTTCTTCTTTCCATTACGTCCCCGCCGCCCCCCCTGAGCCGCGCACATGCCGCCGGCCATGATTTGCCCCCCCCCCCCCCCCCTACTGGACGCCCCCGAGATTCGACGCTTGGGACGATCCGATTCGACTTATCCCTCCGGTGCTGGGGCTGCCTGGCAGGATGTGGAGGAGGAGGAGCAGGAGGAGGAGGAGGAGGAGGTCAACGAAGTCGACGACGCCACTCGAGGGGATGAGGGGGGAGGGACGCCACGGGGCAGAGGCGCCCTGTCGGCTTCTTGGTGATCTGCGGTCGTCGGCGCCAGTGGCGCCCACCCAGCCCAGGGAGGAGGAGGAGGAGGAGGAGGAGGAGGAGGAGGAGGAGGGAGTATCAAGGTTCTGCAATTGCTTAATTATCTCCCCAAACATCTGGTGGTGCTGGGTCTTCGTCTTGAAGGGAGGTCGCCCCGCCTCCCACCCCTGCCACGGCCGTCGTCATGCCCACTGTGGCACACCACTCATGCGCTTCGCGACCCCATCGGGAGCTCCACCGAAGGCCCGAGGAAGGGGGGGGTAGGCGCGTGCGGTCCCCCAGCCCACGTCGGCGCACCCCTCCCGCACTTCGTGGCCCCACGGGGAGCTCCACCGAAGCCCGGGGGGGGGGGGGCACGCTGTCCCCCAGCGCGGCCCACTTCGGCGCACTCTTCACGCGTTTCGCGGCCCCACAGTGAGCCCCACCGAAGCCCCCAGCGGCACAGCCCGCATGCGGCCCCCCCCCCCCGCTCATTTCGGCACACCTCTCCCACGCCTTCGTGACCCCATAGGGGACTCCACCGAAGCCCCAGTGGCAGCGCCCGCGTGCGTCTCCAGACGCGCGGCGGCACACCCATCCCACGATTCGTCGCCCCGTAGGGGAGTCGCCCGGAGGCGCCAGTGGCAGCGCCCGCAGGCGCCCCCAGGCCCATTTCGGCACACAGCACGCACACAGCACACCACAGCACACGCACACAGCACACCACAGCACACGCACACACACACACACACACACACACACGCACACACACACACATACACACACAGCACACCACAGCACACGCACACACACACACACACACACAGCACACACACACACGTCTCGTGGCCTCACAGTGAGCCCCACTGAAGTCGAGATCCACAAGCGCGATATTCACAACAGCACATTGCATACGTCTGGATCTTGTGATCGGATATGGATTGAGTCGCTTCGCTCGTTCCGCCGGCCCATACTGCATCAGTGTTGCTAT